CTGGAGCAAAAATAATAAAATAGTAAAAAAGAAAAATAATACAAAGATTCTAAAATTCAGTACCTATTAACCTAAGAATTAGGAATGATTCCAAGCGAACAGTCACCATTGGCACGAGTGAATATGAACCAATTGTGGAAGGACACACATAAGTGGGCTTAGGTTTTAAAGATGACTGAGCTATTCTAAGATCCAAATGCAAGATGGAAAGGTGCACTTTTACTAGCAGGTTGAATGTATTTTGTTTTCCACTCACAAATATTATGTGTATTTTCTACACAGACCTTTAAAATCATTTCAATGAAGTGCATACCTTGTGTGTTTGTAGAAATTGCTCAAATATAACCAGGTATGGACTCTATTTCATATTTGATGTGTCTTTATGAATTACCAAATAGTACTTACATGATGTTATTCATCACTTAATGAGTCAGCGATTTTAAGTAAAAAGAGAATGGAAGTTTTGAGATGATCCATGTAATGATGAGATTTCCAGGAAATCATTTGTCTATAAATGAGAGGATGCGAGTGTAGGAAAGAATGCTTCAGCAAATCACAAATGAACATGTCTCTTCAGACGTGCTGAACCTTGATCCAGAAGGTTCTGAGTATGCACTATTCACTGTCACAGCCAATGAGTCACGGGCTCAGCATATCGGCACAATTCATATCAATACTCAGTTATATTTTTGTACATTTAACAATCATTTCTTGAGACTCAGTAGTGCAACAGAGATGTTTTCAGCTACTGATCATCATGTTCTACAAAAACAGTAATTCTCTGCTCTCCTGGAGTCGGCATTCTCTTTGGGAAGTGAAATAAGCTACACATAGGCTTGAGTAGCTGCGAAGGGTTGATAACAAGTGCAGAGAATGACTGAGGAGGGGGGTTCAGTGTGCTTGGTGACAGGACACTGAGCAGCTGAAGAAGGTGGTCAGGGCAGGGCTCCAGGACAGGGTTCATGGAGTCAGGGTCCTGAATGGAGAGAGAACATCCACACTGGGCACAGCAAGAGCAAAGGGCCTGAGGCATGAATGTGTTTGATGTGAAGAAATGGGAAGAAAATCAGTGGAATAGAAGAGGAGAAAAACAGGAGAGTGAGGAGAGAACAAGGGAGAATTAACTAAACTATGTAGAAATGAAAGGCAGATATTACAGTTTGAAGAACTTACAGAAAGAAAAATGTGCAATATTATTGGCTTTT